AAAATTAGTACATTAACCCCATGTTTTTTTCTTTTCTATGAGTTTAGAGTAACATGTCCTGTACACCTGTAGTATTTTAAACGATTTTCCATGGGTTTTTTATTTTGTAGCATACATCCTTAAAACAAATGCAAATAGGTAATTTCAACAATAGACAGTATAAAGTTTGTAATAAATCTACATATGGAAATGTACACACCGAAACACCGCACATATTGATAGTCTGGATACACCATTTCAAACATATGGAAATAAAGGCGTATAGTTTGATTCTCGGCGTGAGATTACGCTACGTAACGTATCGGAGTTAAACAGTCTGCATTATTGTCCTTGTACAATCCGTGACCAATTACGGCCATCATGGTCGTTTAAGGGTCGAGGATAATTCCCCCTATGGCAATTTTATGATTTTTTTCTAAAATCTTGTTCCAACGCGAAATTACGTAAAGAAGGTTAGAAATCATAATATAAAACAATAACATTGCCACGACTGGGCCAACCCACTTAACGCGTTTCAAATATCAGTACTACAAATATCATTATACGCCAGTTTATGTTTCTCCTCTTCAAAAAGCGTCTCTCCTAATGGATATTGCAAATAAGCAGCCTTTATCTGTTTTATGTAGTCAAGCTCGTCGTCCATAGATTATGTACACACAATATGGACCTATATCTCAGAATACACCCTTTACGTCTTAGAGTTATTGGTCTTTTTCACGTCCTTGGCATCCGTCGTGAGCCACTGCATCCTCAAATACTTCAACGCAAACTGATGTAACTATCTGTACACGATTATGCCAGTTTAAATTGTGGCCAGTAAGTAATTTATGCGACATCCGCCCCTTATACAAGATAAATCAGTACCATGGTATTTTTTTTAGAAAGACGTCCGAAAACCTCTCTGACTTCTATGACCTAATACAAATGTTATTGGGAGCATTGTCGCATACGACTTATTTACCACTTCCGTGTCACTGAGAATGTTCTAGAACCGTACTGTGTCTGTGTGGAATATTCTAGATTTTTTTTAGAAACTGGTTGAATATGTAGTAGAACACTGTAGGAGGCAATAGAAGGTAATGGAACATTCTAGAAATTTATAGTAAATTCCAGACTCATTATGTATGCTGATGTAATGGTCTATTTATAGACAGTGTGGGTATATATAGGGGAGTTTTTCAGCACTGAGCCCAGATCGGAGATCTCGTTGAATTGTATTGGAGTTTAAGTTTCTAGTTATTGGAGTAGTGGAGTTTTACCGCGTTATTGTACTTGATGTTTGCAGAGTACCAGTACCAGTTGAAACCTCATCTGTTGGCTCCGTGTTCGTATTTTATCATCGCCGCCAAGGAAGTCTTTTTGTTACTGTTGACATTTTGGTATTTGAACCATCACACCTGTACTATACCAATTACGGTAATATTACGTTGCGTGTGACAAGCATAGACCTTACTTACATGTCACCTTTACCGGTCACTGACGGGAATCGACTCTTTGTAAATAGCTCACTTTCATACTTCCATACTATCCATGTCAAACATAAATAAAAGTGGGACCGCGGGGACAGCATATTGAACGACTATTGGTGTTTTTAATGGTGTTCGATTCTAAATTTCGTGATTCTGTTACATATTGTTATGTTATTTTCAACAGCAAACGGAAAAAATAAAAACAATTCTAAACACTCTGTTTTTGTGATAGGGATGACTAATTAACATACGCCTCCAGCCTTCCTTTGCTTTCTTCTTCAGTTCCTCTTATTCAGAGTACAGGAGTACGGGAAAGATTTTAATTTAGTTCACCGTCAACGCAAACAGTAACGACAACAAAAGTGAACTGCGGCAATAGCCTGAGACAAACAGTTTGTTTTTTCAGAGAGTGGTAAAATTTGAAACAGAAAAATGGTAAGATGGTTTTTGATTCCGAAGTACACTACCTCCTCATTCTGATCAAAGTGTGGAGACAAATAAGACATTGGGTTACTAGTAGTTTAGCAAATTATATCGCTACATCGCTGCTCGTGATACGCAGAGTTAATTGACGGAGAAAAAACTAACCACTATTTCAAGTATTACAAATTAGAACAATTATTTATCTGCTGCTTACTGGGATTAATTTCGTGATAACGATTTGAAGATTAGAGGAAAATTGATTTCAAACCCAAATTGATGTCAACTAATCTCGCCATAATGGACCGCAACTAGTATATCACTTTACCAACAAATATAGTAAGTAGACAATAATTCACTCGCACACTACGCCTTCACGAGAAGGCGCAAAGTCCACTCCTTGCAATTGCGGGTGCACCGGCAAATGAGCGCGTACCGCCGCATGGTTAAGTTGGTTGAGTCCGATAACGCTCAAAGAGGTGAAGGGTGTCACGTGATACAAATTATTCCATATTTAGTACGCGCGTCATGCCTCGAGTTGACTGGCTAAACACGTCTATACAACAAGGAGATTTCTTTTTAATTCTTTAAGTTGAAAGCGGCGTAACCATGTCAGTATCGGTAAAAACCAGAACACTCCAATGGGTGAATATTGTGCTATGCGATATTGATTATTCCCGGTTCTTATGCGATGGCCGCGGATGATTACGGATTCTGTACGTACGTCATTGTCTACATTTGGCTGATTTTATTTGAGAACACCAAAACATGAACGTTATACAGTATCTATCTACTACTGAGCCATATTTAAAAAGAAAATTACATTTACATTTTTGTATATGTGTAGAAATTCAAAGTCATGTCCTCTAGTGGTACAAATGGTACGGGGCCGAAGTCCTATTTCGGGCTCGTGTCATTTATTACAAATTTATATATATTAGAATATTTTTTGAATCTGTAAAAATTCAAAATATATTACAAGTTAAGATATCCAAAACTGCGAATGAACCCCAGCCAATGTGCTGGAGTAATCTCACCTAAATCACGTAAAACAGTAGCATAGTATATTCCATTTTGTCACGTGCAAGCTGTCTGTGAAGTGACCACTTGAAACTTCAAACATCTGTTCAAACTGTTTTGTATTGGGTTGTTATCCCGCGTCACCGCATTACGATACAGCACTGCTGGGTAAAATCCGATTTCTATCTATATAACCATCATCCTTCAAACACTCTTCTATAATCGCTGCCAATAGGATTCATATTCACGACCGAAACAATTTACCGCGAACAGACTTTAGCAGTCCCAATTTGAACGAATGCCATTTTACGCAGAGAATTCATATTCTTATGGGCGTAACTATCCGTAGAGCAACTCAAGAAGCAATTACATCACCCTCAATGCCCACTACCAAGTGCCTCTCGTACCAGTGCCGTAGATTTTTTGCCGTAACTGCCACCACCTTCATCGCCCGATGTAAATCAAACTGCAAAACAGCTACAGTAAATTATTAGAGTGTATTATTTATAATCCAAATGTTTTTGTCTTGGTAATTTGTCTAAGTTCACGTACTCGCAGCGCAACAAAGGCATTCCATTTATGTTTATAAATATTTACAAATTTCAAGAGCAACTTCTGAATTTAAATACAGTATATGGCGTTTCTATCCACCCTTAACGTTTACATAATTTTACATGAAATATAAATATTGCTGAGTGTTACTGAAAATGTTGGACAGGTAGTTAAAAAAAATGGTGCACATAATTTCGTTGATCGCTCGATTTTGCTCAATCCAACAATGATTTTGTTAAGAATCTGCGAGTTTCACAGTTTTTCAGTTTTTTAATCAAATACAGAGAATTAGCATGATTAGGCTTTTGTGTTCAGCATTTAAGTTACGTAACAACTTATGCAGCAATGCTCATCAGACAATTAATTTGAACAACAGCCGGTAGGCATCGTCTATTTCGATAAAGGGGTACGATTTTGATCTTATGTAGTCGAATAAATCTTAAATATATTATTTAAAACTATGAGAATATTTAAAGTAATACCATTATTTAAGGTCTTAGTGGCTCGGGGAAAATCTAAACCAGAGACTGCCATGCAACTGTCCAATAATTTGAACAAATCATATGCATGTACCTGGTATAACCTCTATATCATCCAATCAAAAGCCAGGATACCTTTCCCGACGAATGGCTTCGCCTACTGGTTGGCTATATATTGTACCATTTTCGGGATTCTGTCAATTGGTGGCTATCAGTCATTGTGCAGTGGTGTTTCATAAGGTCGCGTCCTTTTTTTGGTTTTCGAAAGATTTATTTTGTTTTCTTCTTCCCACACCGCGGCGAAATCATGTTGTTCGCGACATGGTGGTCACTGGTTTGTCCACTTGTCGTTCTGTGCATGTTCCAAGCCAGGGTGTTTGCTTACTTTGGTGAACCCATACTGCACGGATTCGACAACAGATTTGACGATATGGGCGAGGTCCGGGTAGAGCAATTTACAATTGACAACGGTGAGTACATTTCTGTTGTTTATAATCATTTTTAACATTTGAGTTGTCGTTTTCGCACCATTGCGGTCTTTGTACATCTTACAACAGTGTAGTATATTAATTTACTTCGACTCGTTTTCCAATCTATGCCTCTCGCGCACGAGGTTCTTGACTGTATTTGCTATTGTACGCGCGGCTCGCCTGGTACCTGGACTGCGTCACAGAGCAGCGACAAAAGACTGGAACCGAAGCTATACTGTTTGTATGTGTACCCGTGTTTTATCGGATTGTTTACATTTGTATTTCTTGTAGGTTCAGTTATACTCGACATTGCAGTTGAAAACACTCAAAACCAAGGCGAGCTGTGGATTTTGGACTTCCAACCGTATCTTTTCGATAATTCCAAACCGCCAGTAACGTCGACAAATGGTGGACAGCTAATCGCTTCTCATACTGGCAACTGTTCTAATGTGTTCCAAGACCAACCATTTGATGTGAGTATGTCTTGGATGTGTAGTTTACTACCTTCATGTCGCTTCATTAAATTGAAATTTACTCAAATTTCTTTCAGGCGACTAATGGTTTCTATCAAGACGAATACCTGCCAGCAGCACCAGGTGGAAAAGACTTGTTTAATCAATTCGCCGCAGGAGCAGATGGGTTTGTTCCTAAATCTAATGGCTTAGTTGTAAGAACCGAAACTCTATCCTACAGAGGTCAGCATAAACACTTCAAGTATTTGCATCTGTCAAAATTTCTTATTTTGGTATTTGCTTTCGGAGATACACGAGCTAAATAATTCGGATGTTACTCCATTGCGAAATAAAATCTATCAGCAAATGTTGAAAGTAGCGTTATATTTTAATTCGCATGTGTACGTTTTGCAGGCAATAAGGATAAATTCTTTGACTGTGTCAACACTGATGGCCTTTCGATATGGGAACGTCACGTGTACGAAGAGTCTATCGAATTCAACACCACTCTATACATAACCAACGTCAGACCCAAGAAATCTAATGACGGAGAGAGCGGTATCTCATTTATACAAAGTCACGTTATTCTCTACTGGAGATTGCTAAGAACTGCCATTGCAAGGTATACCTCGAAAAATATTGACTTTGTATAGCTAAATAGTTTGTTTTGTTTTCGAATATTCTTGAATTATGATGCCAAATGATCTAGTTTGCCATAATGTACGCATTTCCCTTCTAGATTCATCATTAGTTCAACTGAGCGAATAAGGCCAATCTTCGAGTACGCCGTTGTCCGTCCAGTTTACATCGATGACGATGAAACCAAAGGACCAGACAGGTGAGACTAAAAATTGATAAAACAAGCCCATGGATGTCTGAGTACGCAGACTCTCGTATAATTTCTGAACAGATTTGTAAATGCGAAGCCACCCAAATCGGACCAATCAAAGCATTGACGTTTTAGGACCAAATTATTCCATGCGTGTATTTATACATGCTTGCTCAACTGGTAAAGTGTTGAGGTAACTGTACTTGTACATTCGCTAGAACACAATTCTCTACCCCCCAGACTAAAATCGAACATTTAATTCGAAGCCTCGTAATTGGCATTCTGATTTAATCTGAAGAACAAATTTTAACAATTGTATTTTTTTTTTTCTCGTTTCAATTTGCCTTCTTAGAAACAAGGCAGAAGTGGAGCTAGCTTTCAAGACTGTTACCTGGTCCGACACTATGATGGCGGTATACGAGGACGCTTCGTTGACGTATAATCCTATTAACGCGGATAATGCACTTGCTTTTGTTAAGGATGACCCACAAGAAGGTAAAATTGTAGAATTAATATAGACAACTATACTAACGTCGTTATGAGCGTCGCCCGAAATTACTTCAATTTTAAATTAGTTGCGAAATTCGACATGACAATCTACAAAAACACTCTCGCCCTATGACAGTTTTCGGGACGCGTGTAAGATTGTATTTAGCAATGCAATATCTAAATATTGCGCCTTCGATAGCTGATTATTTTTACTAGAAAAGCCAGTTGTTCCAAATTGTGCATATTTTAAATAATGCCCCTTTTCAAAACGAGCTTGTTCTCGCATAAACATGTTAATTGTGCACACTATTATCAATCACTTGTAGCGAGTATTTCTTCTAATAAACTTTAAATTTCTCAATAAGATTCCAACTATAGCGTCTTTTTTTTTTAAAGTGACCGTATACTACAATCCAACTGACAGCACTGCCAAGGTAATCGTCGATGGGGTCAGTGTGCCTATATGTCCAGCAGACGTAAATGACGTTACCATTCTCGCCACTACAATTTGCAATGAATTTGGTAAGCAACCCTTCCGTGCCTTAAATCCGCCAACTATGCAGTCGATCATCAGTCACTGGAAGGGCGTATCTTGTAAGAATCGTGTATTATCTGGTTTGACCTTGCTGGTTTACAAAACTAATGAAATAAAACGAAACTTGTCAATTTTTCAAAATTCGTCTTTCAGGTTTGGCACTCTACTCGTCAGCAAGTATTTCTACTACCGCATCCACGTCTGCTATTGTAGGCCTTTCCTGCACAGGATCCGAAACTAACTTCGGGGAATGCTCGTACACAATCGGAACAGATGCAGACTGTAATGCAGGTGCCTTGGAAGTGGTATGTTCTCCTATAGGTAAGAAAATGTGGAAAATTGCCTTATTAATGCGATGATTTACTTTGGTCTAATCTAACTTTTATCTTGTCTGCTGCAAGTGTACTAGGCTGTATACAATACAAAGTACAATATCTAGTCACTTTAAGTTGTACTTGAACATTTTTCATAATCTAGTCTTGCGTTTGCTTTTTAGACACTGCTGAATTACCAAAGTCTTGTCACGACTTCCTGCAAACAGCTAAAAGAGAGGGCGTGATACTAGAGGACGGCATATATGACATAGATGTTGGCAATACCAGGACAAGCGTATATTGCGACATGACCAGAGATGGTGGCGGGTGGACCCTTATATTGACTACCGCTGGCCAAGATGGATTCACGATGGCCAATCTGCTGAGTAATAACCCTACTGTACCCTCTATCTCTAGCGATTATTCCATCTTGGGAGTTGCCGATTCTATTGTTAGCACCAGTGACGGAAACAATTTCCGGGTGAGTTTCTCGCTGAAGTCGAATTCGCTACATTATCAAACTGGTTGATAAACATCAAATTCGTGAAATTTACTTTTTTTTTATTCACTTGTGTAAATTTGATGTTGCAGACGTAACAGATTCTTTACACATTTGTTTTCCCGTAGTACCGTATTGAAGCAGGAGCCCCGGGCCAAGATGGCGGAATATGGGAAGCGCCACTCACGACCTCTTTAGTTGGCGATACCGACACGAAGGCGACAACCCTAATTGAAAAATTTGGCGTATGGGAAGAGAACCTACCAGACGGCGGCGGTCCACAGAACATCATGCCTTTCATAGTACCAACTGATAACAATCTTTTGACTACTGGAACTCCAGGAAATTTCGGAGCCATAGTCTGTTCTTGCACAGGGTCGTCGTACAACCCAGCGCCTTGGATTGACGGCGTAGTTGACCAACCGGAAACAATCTGGTATTGGGTTAAGGAAGATAAAACTGGTAAATTTCTAGCTTGAATTCGCATTTAACCAAATGCGCTACATGTTAATATTACCTCGTGTGACCAGTCTCAATTTGGTCGTGATGTTGTATTCTTTGGTAAGGCACCTTTGTACTAGGTGTTCAGCACCTGTATGGCAGCCAGGGATGGGTATTCCCCTAGTGTTGAAATGGGAATAAGGTTTGGCCAGCGAATACGTCTTTCAGCATAACGTAAACAACTTTGTTATATTACGTCTATCTAAACGTTATTCACAGATCCTACCGCAAATACTGTTCACGCCTCCACATACGAGGAAGCAATGTTGGCACCAGAATGCGATTTCACAGAATATCCCGGTGAATGTACCCAGCACTGGAGATACACTGTTATATTAGACGTAGATGATACGGGTTTGGATGCAGATAAACCAATTGATGCTACTGGTACCTTTTTACTTAATTTTTAAACAAAGTTGACAACTGTTAAGTCAGCAGTAACAATTTTGAAATCGCATGAATAAATTTAGAACCCCTTATCTAAAAAAAAAGTACCAGACTCTAAAGACATAAAAATTCAAATGCTAATTATGTTCGTCTTAGGTGAATTTGTTGTAGGTTACTACATGTACCAATGTCCTAACTTGGTATCCGGACAAAAAGACGACTGTTTGGAATTGGATGTTCCTATCGCATACATTGGAACCGAAGTGACTTTGCAGACCACGGTTCAAATTACAGATGCTACAAAGGACAAACCTGTGTAAGTTCTAAACCTTGCTCGCATTTACTCCCCGTAGTCCTTTGCTTTTGTAATAAAATTGTTCCACTTTCAGTGTGCTGCTCAAGAGACTATATGGAAGAGACCCGGCAATTGACCTGCGTGATGGTGCAAGAGGAATTCAACATCTGGAACAAATTACTATTCAAACTCATTTCTTCCCTGAATTCGTCCGTGAGCACTTGGAAATGACACTGACTCTCTTTATGGTGTGTTTGGGAAATTACAAAGACGACCCGGATGCAAGTACTAATTGTATTGCAAAATACATTTAAAGAATAACGTCATAAGATGGTAACACGAGCATTTCATATAGCCACTTACCCGATCTTATTAGCTGATAAAATTCATCAGGGTAATAATTACTGCTCTATCGTTGCAGGGCTGTTTAGTGGCACCAGATGCAGATGCATACATCGCCCACGTCTCTCCTGACTTTTATTACCAAACGCTGGTTGATCATAGTGATGAATCTCTTGGTTACAAAGAATATTTCGCAGATGATGTATCTCACCTCGTAACTCGGGTTAGTTGCTTCAAAATATCGCAATAGTTTCTACGCGCTCCAAGAAACTACATTCTGCTTTATGCAAGGAATTTCCATTAAGTGAGACGTGCAAGCTGACGTGCTTTTCTGTTAACACTTGGAATTCCCCTTAAACAACAAATAAAAAGCAATTGGCAGTTCGGCTTCTTAGCAATAAAGTCCATGCATATTAATATGTAATGTATTCCACTATTAAATGCATTCATTGTGTTTAATTTTCAGACTCTGGACGAGAACATTTACATTCACAATAAGGATATCCATCAAAGTAAATTCACAAACAGGGCCTTGTCTGATGTAGCCAGACTTTGCACTATTACCAACGTGTTCGTATTAATCGATCGAAACGAGCCCGCCGACAGAAAAAAACGAGATTTTGTCCTAGTTTCCCACGACATGGTCCGACGTGATATCGAAGACGCAGTTGCTCTTCCCCAAACAAATAGCATGCTACTAGAATCTACTGGATGTCCCGAAAACTCGATCCACGACCGTGAAAACCTTCATTGTATTTGTATAAAAGAGGACGAAGAGTACTCTCCAGAAACCTTCAAGTGTGAACCAGTTTCTGTGCTCTCGGAAAAGGCAAGTTCACGTTTATTAGTTATTTCGGCAACATGCCATTAAAATAAGTCATTTATATGCTATCTATTTTGTTACTTGGAATGGTGTTCAAGATTATTTCCACACGTTTGAAAATAGTTTTTATAAATAAAACTAACGTTTCTTTTGTCTCAAACTTGCAGGAACGCGAAGACGACAGTTCGGCAATCTTGATATCCACTAGTTATTACGTCATACTTGCATGTTTATTGATTTTGTTTGTCTAGTCGTATGTATAAATATTTATCTATAAATTATATAAAATGTAGATTATTTATTTATACAAGTTGTACATAATAAAAATTAAAGCTACTGCCACCAAAATATTAGTCTTACTTTATGCATAAAAAACGCTATGCCACGGGTCAACAGAATATTAAGAACATGCCCTTAAATCTCCACCACCACGTGATATTGTATAATTTTAAAGTGCACTAAACCAAATGTTCACAATTCGGCAGCCTACTCTAGTTTCGAAATAACCCTACCCTACTTGCAGCCGGCGCAAATTTTGGCCTTTACCACCAGGAATACTCTTCAAATATTTAGTTCATAATGGTAGGCATGTACGCGACTCCACTGCACATTGGCAGTGGTACTATCAGCAAACTGACCCCTTTTCAATTCTCAATTACTTTGAAATAACTAACCTCTTAACAAAAGTGTGCAACCTTCTTAGCTACCCTCTTGCGCTGTAAATTTGGCTGGTGTACGTTTTCACAATTAGATTAATCACGCCTTCCTGACATAAATTGATTTCTTTTTTTATTGAACAACCTAGTATTCTATTATGACTGGTTTAACTTCACGTGATCATTGTTTATTTACCTCTGTAAAGTCGGCCATGATATAAATACCAAGTCTAAGCTACTACCTACTAGTTTAAAGATCAGTCCTGGACCTCCATATATTCATCGAAAATAACAAATTTCGTAGTTATTGGACTAGTTTTGCCACTCCTACTAAGTGCGATTAGTTAAATGTATCATTTCAGTTTAAACAATCTTGTAGAACATGGAGAGGCGTAATGTCAACTATAAAAGGTGTTCAGATTATAAAACAGAATCGTGGCAAAGCTCTCCTGAGTTGGTGGGCATAGGTTGTGGGAAAAATGTTCCGCATATTTTAGAATCGAGTGCATTTCCATTGTAACGGGATGCTAGAGTAATTACGTCATTTTTTAACACGAGGGGGGAAAAAACGGTCACTGGTAGCCTAGTGGTTGTCTCATCAGACTCGTGGCCGGTAGACCCAAGTTCAAATCCTACTTTAGGCTGAACATAAAAATGGTCGACACCTACCCTGGGTGAGTGTGCCACAGACTCAATGGGAAGGCAAATTCCACTGGCCGAGATTCATTCACTAACGAATGCGACTTGGGGGGGGGGGGCTTGGTTAAGGTCCGCAGGTGCTTGTGTTCGACCGAGCCTGGTTGACGCCAGAATAGCGCGTTAAAATTGCCATTTGATAGATAGCCACATAACCCTGTCATGCAATTCCAAACATAAATATGACTTGTGACAAAAATGCACTGTGTCAGCACTAGCAATTGTAATTTGCGCAAACAAAAAAAATCGGGAGAGACAACAGTGACCCAGAAATGTCGCCTGGAACAAAAACAATTTAAAAAAAAACACGGGGGGGAATAAAAATAAGCTGTATGCTAATACTGATCATACAGGAGACATCATACAGGAGATCATACAGAAATTGTTATTGCCAAACTGTGTGGCAATTGCTCCGAGGCGTGGATGATGTAATTTGGCAACTGGTTGGAAAAAACTCGTAGCTCCAGAAAATAATCCCGTATTCAAAAAATCATCTAACCCCCGAGCCTTATCTGTTACTAGTATTAGATTCCACACATCTGACGACACACATAGTTGAAACTGCAACATCCCCCCTTCTAATTCACAAGTTCCGTTTTGTCAGCAATGAAATAATCTTCAGAAATCTAAGTTGTATGTTATATGCTTATAGATGCTCAAATAGCTTGCTAAATGTTGACCATGTTAACTCTCCTGGCGAATTTTAATATATATTAAATTTATATTTTACTCTAGGGCCTTTATGCCAGACTTTTATTATCCCTTGTTTCGCGAACCCGCCGGATGAACAGAAGCTGAAAATAATATAAAAATAAAATTTCTTGCGCCCGCCGACTTATAAGCGCAAACAATTGTTTTAAAAAAATATTATTTTTATCTTCATTTTTTTACAATCCGCCGCATACCAAATCCAAGTTGCATTTTCGTGGGAGTATCATGATCAAAGTACCAAAGTCTCGCGCAGATGAGAAACAAGGTTATACATTGAATAACATTTTATTTCATTTCTTCTCTCCGATCAATAATCTCACTATTCTTCGAGAATCACACAAGTCTAATGGGGGGAAAAAAAGAATTAATTTTATTATTTTTTTCCGCCCTCTACAAAAAAATTGCCTTATAAAAACTCGAGAAACAAGGAATAAAAAAGTCTGGCCTTAATAAATTATTACAACCTTGATATTTCTAAATTTAATAAAATGCATACACTCGATTGTAACCGATAAAACATGTATAATTATAAAGCTGTCAACCTGAAACATTAGCGTTCACGAGACATTGGGTACATGTGCTGTATTTTGACATTGAATTGTTTGAGAGAAAACAGAAATATAAGATTGTTTCTAGCCACACAGGCTGTCATGGCTGAGTATTGGAAATAATTTTTAGGTGGAAATTATTCGAGCTGAACAGATATTTAGGCTGTTTTTTTATTATATTTGCACTTAATTTTGATAATGTAAAACACAGTAAAAAAGGATTTTCACTTGATTCTGTTTTCACTGATTCATCTCGTCAGCATAAGTCACGAAAATAAATTCTAAATGAAAATAAAGTACTTTACATAATCACACTGTTATAGATAATACTATGTTCACATTTAAAATAATAATGCACACTGCATGGATTTTAAGAAATATCCCGAGATTATTTTGGCGTTTCATTTCCACTGTTAAGACAGAATAAAATGCATACATACAAACACTCTTAACTCAACAAATGTATTCCCGACGATTTTGTTGTACTTCGCTAATGTTCATTAGTTTATTACGTACAATCATGGTAAAATGAAACAACATCATTTTGTGTGTTACAGTTATGTGTTTTGAGAAACGTGTCCTAATATTTATTGAAAATTGCTATTTTGAGAACAATTCCATAGAACACAATGTTAAAGAAAAATTGCATTTTTTGAAACTTTTTAAAACCCAGATTTTTTAAATAATTCAGAACAAAAAGTACTCTACCATTAATATGTGATTTTTTTCAGCCTATGTCACCAGGCTAAATTTTGAGATATTGCATAATATAGGAACCTGTGGTAAGTGTTTTAATAGTGTCAAAATGTCGATTTACCACTAAAATACAACCATCAATTTCTCGAAAAAAAGGCTGGTGACCCCCAACTTTTTTAGGTCAATATCCTTATATTGCCTTGGAATACAGTTTATTGCAAAATGAATAAATTCTGGGTTTTTTAATTTATGAGTAGACTTCTACCATAAATGACAGATTATCCCAAACCACGAAATTCATTTTGAAATGGGGCCTAGGGGCGCCATTCCGTCATGATTTGGACCATTTAGGCATCTGGTTTATTTCAAAATTTATCACTGAGGTTATTAATTGTTTAATTCAGGAGAGCCACTTTATGCGTAATTCGCCAGTATTCAACTTGTATTGCCAACTGTGTGTCTCAAGAGCATTTCGATTAGGTTTGACTTCAATGAAAACGTAACTATGAACTGAGATAGCTCCGAGGAAAGCATCCCGCTTGCTCGTGGTCACGTGCTGCCAGCCAACAGGGCTGCCATATACCTCATCCACTCCACATCAATATGCAACATCAGTCTCCATACATTCTGGAACCATGTATCGCACCAGTATCTATCACGTCGTGTGTTGGAGGTTCCTGTCAGCAGCTGATTGTTTCTTCATCGGCTTGGTCGATTGTCACCAGTCGAATAAGCATTATAATTATCTGATGACGTCTCTGCCTGATCCTGATAAATTATATAAGAAGGATGATAATCTACCATCTCATTTATTCATTGTGTTCATGAAAAAACTGGTCAAAGCCCTCTTTGAACAAGAAAAACAGTCTGTAGGCTGATTGGCAATTGTGTTGTTTCTTACATAGGTGATTTTAACATAGATCTTTAAGTATTGGCAGCAGAACTTGCGAATGCCAAGTAGCATTACCAAAGAACTACCAGAAATCAACATCGTAAATTATAAGCTCCACAAGCTTTATTGTAAATGAATAAACAGAAATTAAAATAAACTGACCAGAAGAATGATACTACTGATATTTGCTCTGTGTCACAATTATGAAAATTGACTAAATTAAATATAAATTTGTTCAAATGTTTCAACAATATTACGATTCATATTAATAATTATATGATTTTTGAATGAAATAATGCAATGATTGAAATTTTGACCATTTTCCAAAATTTCTTGCTCTTTTTTCTTAATCTTAATTTTTTTAGATACTAATCTGAAAACCACTCAACAGAATGCATGTCTATCAGTGTTGTAGAATTAATACTTAATATTTATCCCATTTCATTACTACTAATACTAATGTAAAATTTGTGGTCTTTCATTTATCCAATATTTTTCGTGTTGTATTTACAGTATTCTTGAATTAATTTGAAATATTTTCTATGTCATGCCTTATGAACGCACATGTGTTCAAAATTGATTATTCCTATTTTTAACTTATTCTTATTAATCAACTTTTCCTATGTTTTAAAGGCAGCATTGATGCTGTAAATGTTCTTCTTCGCAAGAGGCAAATCTATGGGTCCTACGACATGTAACAAATGCCATAAAATCCTGCAGTGAAAATCTAATATTATTTTATACCCTTCGATATTGAAAGTAGTTCACTGTACTAAGAAGACTTCAAACAATTATTGTTACTACTCCATTGAAGGTTATGAACCGACCGACCCTTATCGATACTGGCTTCTCCAATTATTCCTTGCTCTGAAAACATAGCTTTGTGTTTGCAACTGGTTATTAACAGATGTTACTGTGTATGTACAATGAATACATTTTAAATAATAAACCCTACTGTGTCACTAAGAAATGGCATTTTTACAACGTGATATTGATTTTGATGCTTAGTGGTGATATTAAAACAGGTCCTGTTAATAACATGACCTGAATTAAAAAGGGGTCAATGAAGATATTAATAGAAAACTAGTTTAGTTGCACTTGTGTGCTCTGAGATTCTGAGCAATGGAAGTATTCAGTTATCAGTTCAATACATGATTATGGAAAATCACTTTATGATTCCTCCACCTGAATGTACATATTCCATGTACTACTTTAACAATACGAGTATTCTATAATCAAATGACGGGGGCTGTGAAATTCTTGGCTTATTTGTTTCTAATTCTTCATATCTAACTGCAGGTGAACCTCGCCTGTCATGTTTGTACAAATTTGGCCATTAAAAAAAATCACAAAAAAGTTAACCCCAAATTCCAGGTCGATTTTTTTGGCAACGAAGAAAGATGTCAAAAAACCAAATAGTAACAGTGTGAGAATTTACGCGTTTCCAAACGATCCTTGGTGTGACATTAGTGGACGAAAGACGTAAAATCAATGAGATAAAGCTGAGATTGACATTATTCCTATACCATCGTATACGATCGCTATAGTTCAATGCTATAGAATAGCAAACATTTTTTAAGGTAGAGATACAGTTTACCTGACAGGTATTTTAATTAGTTAATTAGGAAACCAAGATGACCTCCCTTGTACACAAAACTATATATTTTCGGAAAGCTTATTGTATGAATTTTAAAATTTTGTTAGTAATTTTTTTTATGGACACTGTAATTTGAAATATGCACACAAATGTGCTTTTTTGGTCAAAAGTGATTTTTAAAAAATTAGCTCCTAAACCATGCTTCTGTTTCTTGTCAAAATTGGTTTATGGGTACATCTGTTTACTGTGAAGAAAGTGCCGTCTTAAAAACTGAAGTTCTGGGATGTGCACTAAAAAGAAGCTGAGATAATTGCTAATTTGCATAACAATTCACTCAGTAAGAAGTTTGCTAATGCTCATAATTAAAATGGCTGTAACACTTCCAAATTTAAATGTATTATCGTTTTGTTAAAAGTTAAATATAGTGCATAATATGGAGATCCCGTCATTTCTTTTTTTCACCATGTTTCTTATTTATTATTTATGTACAGCCTTGCTAAATCTTGCTAAGCATTCAAAAGAGAGAATGTTTGCACCTGTTATCTATATTATAAAATCGTTTTTTGAGTATGTTCCACTATTCACAATTTTACAAAATGTTAACAGTCTATAGCCAAGACTGTTTGGATAATAAAAAGCAAAAAAAAATTCACTCCCAAGTGCCCACGAATCTGCATCTCCACCTAAAACTCTTTTTAATGTTGAATCTTTTTTTTTTACTTAGACAATGCAATAATGTATGAACATACCTAGTATCCTGACAAATAACTAGAATACAAGCGAGACGTCAAACTCGATTTTGACAAACTTGGAAAACACTGACATAGGCATAAAAAGAGTTTCAAGCAATAGATGTCGGCACTTCAACCGACTGCATCGACCAACATACAAGTGACTGCAATTGTAGTACGCCTTTGACCGCGGCGACTAGCTACCCAAGAAAGGACATATTTCGTATCTAACTTAACTCTTTACGAAAGTTGATAATATGTGTTCTTTATGGCCCACTCTTTCCCAAGGAACAAGTACATGAGTGGCAATTTAGTCAAAGGCGAGAACATTGAATAAGAAATGTGCCTTGTACACATTATCGGCAATGCCCGCTGACCAGCAAGTTCCCCCTGCATACACCACGAGGGTTATTTGAGTATGCAAATGAAGCCTCGTTTTAAAATGCATAAAAATAAAAATGCCTTACATTGAGTTTAAACCCCATTTAAAAACAACAACATATTTTGTATTTAATAACCTAAAAATTAATAATATGTACCAATAAATGATTTTTGGCCGGAAATTAGCATGCATTTCACATGCACTTTAAACAACTCCCTATTTCCAAGAAGGGGGTTATCCTACAGACTGTCACTTCTGTGGACTATTTAAATAAAGAAAATCACGCGTGGTTTGCTACATACCTTGGGAAGTAAATTTATATATCAATTTATTCCATACTGACGTTTAATAAGTTCTATAGTACCAGTAGTCAATATGTTCGACAGTTCGTGAAAATGCAATAATTCAGTATTTTTTCATTGATTACTGAAAATAATCTCTGTCTCGTCTTTAGCATGTTTTTTTTTAATCTAATTCAGGGGTTTCCAGGTTATTTATTTATTTATTTATTTATTTATTATCACGTATTATTTACAGTTTGTATTGTACGTGTAAAACCATTTATTTCCTACTAAATATATTATTTACAGAAATAGTAATCTGAATAACGAGTTTATGATGGTGATTATAAACATATATTACAGGAATTTGATTTACAGATTGCTTACTTGTTGTATTTAGTAGTGGCAACTTGGATGAACTAATGTGTATTCATTTGGGTCGAATCCGGTATCTCTACGTGTAAGTGTTATCAGCCAAGCGAGGCGAAGTCGTCGATCCCTGAACAGGAAGCACCTGTTCATAACATTGGTACAAGGTCGACCTTTCTGAAATGCGTCACTAATTTTAGTTGGTTGTCTTGATATGCAAATTATTATGCAATTTAGCTACCTCAAGTGGCACCATTCAACAGAACGTGTCCAACTCGTGGCCTGGTATCAACCCGTTGGTGGAGACAAAAACATGACGGTTCACACATGGGCGTTTTTAGTTTTATGTACGTTCCAAGCGCGGTGTTCTGCCAACTTCGGGGAACCTTTGCTCCACGGATTCGACAACATATTTGACGATATGGGTGAAGTTCGTGTCGAGGAGTTCACTATTGAAAACGGTAAACTGTGTCTTCAATATTAAGAGGCCATTTGGTAATTGGAATGTCACGATAATCAGATTTTAATTTCATTCAAATAATTAAATGCTTGGCCTTGATTATTTATTTATTCTCAACAATAATGATAATAATTAATACAAGCTCATTAATAGAGCGGTTTATAGGAAAATGTACAATCTCGCATTTCGTCGCATTCACGCTTCTCATTTTCGAAGGGTACTTTGTACTTTTTTTCAGGATCAGTTATTCTAGGCATTGCAATTGAAAACGCCCAGCACGAGGATGAGCTCTGGATCTTAGATTTCCAGCCTTATTACTTTGACACTTCCAAACAACCGGTGGTTTTCACAGACTGTGGAATGTTAGTCGCCGCTCATACTGGTAACTGTTCCAACGTGTTTCAAGATCTACCCTTCAATGTAAGTTAATTGAGACAGCAAAATACGTTTCCGCTAAAAGGAAATTCTCCAAATCGAAGGAGACTGAATTTTTACCGCAAATACAAGCGATCGCATATTAATAATAATGCAATGCAGTTTGTTTAGGTAAACCACTTTTTCAAATGACGAGTGATCGTCTTCCCCAATACTATACCCTTTCACTATTTATTACATAAATAATTTCTGTGTAAATATTCCGTGGTTCAGCTTTATGGGTTTGGATTAAATGCATTATGACCATTTAATGCGATATCACATACAGACCATCAACCATAATTCCCTTTAATGTATTAGCGGTCTGTAAATTGAAATCTATATTCCATGACAGTGCTTGGATCACTTCATTTTATTTATTGCCAGGACTATTTTTTTTTCATATCACGGTATTTATCGAATGTGTTTGTTTAGTCTGAAAAGAGAATGAGTTTACATGTTCCCATCTCGATCTGTCTCGCCCACTTATTGTACATATTAGTTACAATTGGTCTAGTTATCTCTGGTTATAATAATTCTTAATAGCATTAAGATTAAGCCCACTCAATGCAATGGTATGTTGGTGAATGTTTCTTCGTTTGCAGTTAACAAGTGATTAAATCACGCCTCCTACCATGTTGGCATGTATGTTGTAGCAACCAATGCATTGTGTTCAATTGGCTCATGCTCTGCTGTTTTTTTCAGGATACTTCTGGGTTTTATAAAGACGATTACCAACCTAACGTACCAGGGGAGAAAGAACTCTTTAACAGACTGTCTCCTGGAAATGATGGATATGTTGAAAAATCCAATGGACTGACTGTAAAAACAGATATTTTGTCATTCAAAGGTAAAGCAGGGAATGTTCCAGCATTTTGTATTTTGGTTAAAAAGGTTACAGCCAAAGAAAAGAAACCTTAAAGATTTAGTTAGATAAACGTTAAGATCATTTAGCTATTTTAGTCAATTCTCTACAGTTTATCACCTATGTACAGGGATGTATAATAATTGCATTGTTTCAAATACTGTGATGTTTTTTATAATCACAGTTGATATTTTACCTTTGTGTTTTACAGGAAGCATTGATCAGTTTTTTGCCTGCGTGGACAGTGATGGCAATTCAATATGGGAACGTCATGTCTATGAGGAGTCTATTGAATTCAACACCACTCTATACATGACCAACGTCAGACCAAAGAAATCTAATGACGGAGAGAGCGGTATCTCGTTTATACAAAGTCACGTGATTTTGTACTGGAGATTGCTGCGTACTGCTATATCAAGGTGCATATTTAAAACTGGGTAGAAATGATGAATGAATCGTTGGTGCAAGCAAAACCTTGTGACCATTAGTGTGTCTCGAAGCACAGATACTATCACTTGAAATCGTGTTCAAATATTCTCTTCTCCATCTCCAGATTTATACTGAGTTCTACAGAACAGATTAAACCAATATTTCAATATGCTGTTGTCAAAACAGTTTACATTGATAACGATGAAAGCAAAGAACCTGACAGGTCTGATTTAAAAAATTATTCAATTTCTTTATTTTCATCTTTTTAGCAATGTTATGTAGCAGTTCAGCTACAATTGCCATTCTGTCTTACAAAATTGTTATTGCTGGAATATGCCATCTAATAACAGTGACCACTGGGATTTACAAATGTGTGCCGATTTTAAACAAGTTGTTTATTCGATCTTACCCATTATTAGAAATAAAGCAGAGGTCGAGTTTGCTTTCAAGACCATAACTGGTTTGGAACATGCAATGGCGGTCTACCAGGACAATTCTCTAGTTTATGTTCCCGCTGATGTTCATAATTCTCTCGACTATGTCCAAAATGATCCCGTCGAAAGTAAGTCAGTATTTTTTGAATATATATACCATGTATCATGTTCATTGTTTTCTAGCACGTCGCTGCTGCATGTGTTTGATAAATCGCCATTTGAAACAGTTTGGGCAGGATCATATGGTATTTCAGTACTAATTATAACGTCTTGTATGCTCTTTGGTAATTAATGCATGTCCCACAGGACATCAATATGCAAAACATAAGTGAATGAGTTTTAGCGGTTGTAATTGTTTTTTGTTTTCCAGTTACACTTTACTATCCTGCAGCTGACGCTAATCCCAACGCCCAAGTACTTGTGAGTGGAGAACGTGTACCGTTTTGCCCTTCTAGTGCCGACAATATCGACCCAATAGCTGAGATAATGTGTAATGAATTTGGCAAGTATTTTTTTGTTGTTTAACCCCAATAAACGAATGAATGCTCCCCCTTAATTAATAAAATGTTGAAATCGAGACCCTCTGAAACGCTATTTCCTGCATTTTGAGGGTCAAATTTTGCTGGCAAAAATAGTTTCAGCTTGATTTTAGAGGGGCGACCGCCCCCTCTGCCACTGCCACTGATTGTTTCAATATGCCATAAATGTTTTTACTGTACGTGTTTGAAGATTTTTTTTTTAGTTCACTCGAATCTTGGGTAATGAGGTACACTTCCGTGCATATATTATATTTATCTGCATCAATTTTGTCCATAAATGGTGTGCAAGATTGTATATTTTCTACAACTGATACAAACATCGTTTCTAAGGCTTACCTAAACTTGCCATCCTCAAGGTTGCAATCGTATGTCGCATATTTTTGTTCTCTGCTCAAACATATGTTTTTTTCCTTCAGGGTTGACTGTGCAAGCGATGTTCCTGATACCAGCCCCGTCGTCTGATATTGCCATAGTGAATGTTGAGTGCAACGGTGATGGATCCAACTTTGGTGATTGTACCTATGACATTGGATCGGACGACAACTGTACTCATGGTATTTTGGAAATTACCTGTTCTACAATAGGTAAATCCAATATGATAATGTTTCGTCAGATACCACATTTCGCAGCAGTATCTTTTTTGAATTACTGAGTTTACATGAACTTGATTCTATGACGTAACACATGTGCTAAATTGTTATTACCACAAACACAGCTCCTCAATCCGGTTAGGAAACGCTATTGTTCTAAGGTGTGAATCGCCCGAGTCCCGTGTACAGTGCGTGTTTCGCTTGTGGGGAGAGAGAACGATAACGTCATAGCATTATCTTGGAGCTCGTTCGAAGCACATCCGTTCAGTGTTACGTCTACAAATATTTATTTAAAGTTACAAATCTCTGTGTGATCATATCGGTTTCGGGAAAAGGCACATGTAGTTTACAATCCATATTTATTATAAATAACGAAAACAAAGCGATTTTGATTTCAAACTGTAACTGCCATGTTCATTCATTATTACTGTATGCATTACGGCAATAATACCACGAAAGTTTCAACCCCGGTGAATCGCGTTACCACCCCAAAACAATCACAGTTGTTATCAATTTTTGATTTGATACTTTAATTTTCGGACAATATTTTTACTTTGTGCATAAGTGCCTGGAAGCTATTCATTTCAGTCATTCATTTCCATTTGATTTTGTCGTAGGTGTTGTGTGTGAATTAAGATGGTTGTTTGGTGTCGCTAACAGAAAATGTTATTCCGTAAGAAATAGAAACTACCGAAACTTAAAAGATGGAATTAATTGTAACTTTTAGATAACCAAACCGTTTATGTTGTCATATGACCCATTCTAATCATATTTATTAACATTATGTCACGTTACTCGGTACATGTGCTCGGTAGAATTTTTGTTTCCAAGATGGCGATACCTACTATTGTCGCCGTTAGGCTGAGAGTATCCGATTGTATCGACCTTCGTATATGCACATTTCGGCTTAAACTATCATATAGTTAGTACAATTTGGAGGTTAGATATCCCAAAAAATGCCAAATACTATTCTCATTGCTGTTCCAGTTAAAAATTCAGCCTTGTTTGTGGTCAGATGCCAACTTGAAGCCATACACGACAACGACGGTGGTGGTGACGATGCATATATCCTGCATCTAAGTACTGGGATCCTTCTTCCGTTATGTCATCCCAATCAATATCACTGTCGACGATATATTTGTGTTTTTCCCGCTTTTCGTTAAAATAAAATGCCCAGAAGTCAGAATATTGAAACTTTCACAGCAGTGAAACATGAAAATAAAGTTGTGTACGCCTGCGCAGAAATGAATTGCGAGGTATTCTCGGTGAAAATGATGTCATACTATATGCTAATTTTATGTTAATGTGGACAGTGTGGGGGATTACCGGTAAACTAATTTTACGAACGCGAAGCACGCATTGTGACAATAGAACTCAAAGCGTTTCCTAACCGGGTGTGGAGGGACTGTGCCACAATCAATGTGAAATACTGGCAATCTAATCTTACACAAAACAACAATTTCTAACACTAAATGGCAATCTTGAGTATAGTTATCAAGCTGGTCAATATGTGCGCCATCAATTCATGATTTTATATCTTGAACACATTTCCCGCTACTTTTTACTGTTGATAAGATGCAATAAAAGGCGGGAAATTGGAAAGAGTTCATTTTGCATCCCCCCCCCCAAACTTTCACCTCTACCCTCCAGTACCCCTCTATTTAATTCTATATGCCGCTCCTAAGGACACGTATAGTTATCTGAAGTGGCATATTGAATTGAATTGAATTGAATTGGGGGCCGAGTTGAGGTCGACAATTAAAGGTGTGTACAGAAGAAAATCTATTAGGGTAAATATTCGATATTAAATACGTGATTTGCATTGCCAGTTTGCAACATTGAATATTATTCGCATAAGCAGCATAGAGGGGACAAGTACTTTTCTTTTTAACCCTCATAATACTATTTTCTTATTTGCAGCCATCGAAAATCTTCCCAAATCCTGTCACGACTACCTCCAAGCGGCGAAACGAGAGAACATAATATTAGATGATGGCATCTATGAGATTGATGTAAATGACGAACGGAAAACAGTTTACTGTGACATGACACGTGACGGTGGTGGATGGACCCTGGTTATTACAACCATTGGTCAAGATGGTTTCAGTACGTCCAATATATTGGACCACAATTCGAATGCACCATCTGTGACCTCAGACTATTCGATACTGGGACTTGCTAACTTCATCAAAGAAACTAGCGATGGTGAAAACTTCCGGGTAAGTATATCTGTTATGTGAATGTGTGGCGAAGGCGCTGCTGTTCTGGTTCAAATAAATGCACATATTCCATTGAATGGAATTGTCCTAATTTCTTCATTTTGAAGGCGTCCAAGTGTCAAAACGGGTTTGATTGGAAAGTTTATTTATTAATGGAGGATCCTGAATGTACGTATCGTTTAAGCTGGTTTTATATGCAATCTATGTTCAATTTTATCTACAGTACAGAATAGAATCTGGGAAGCCAGGCCAAGATGGCGGTATATGGGAGGCTCCTCTCTCGTATTCTTTTGTGGGAGTTGCAGGCTCTGTCAACACTCGGTTAATCGAGAAGTTTGGGGTGTGGGAAGATAATCTACCAGGCGGTACTGGTCCCCAGAACGTGATGCCTTTCTTAACTCCAGACGCCAACCTTTTAACCACAGGTGGTCCTGGACAATTCGGTACGATTGTATGCAGCTGCCTAGCAACAGAGTTCAATCCCGCGCCCTGGATAGACGGCATTGACAACCAGCCTGAAAAGATTTGGTATTGGTTTAAAGAAGACAAATCGGGTATGTCTCGACACAATTTTTTTCTGTACAATGATACTCTATCTCATTTACCAGTGTGTTTATGTATGACTCTAGTTGGTATTATAAGTTGTTCAATATATGTGCAGTAACGGTTTTGATCATGGAACTTAGCATAATGACGTCATTGAACACGTGTGCATTTAATTCAATAAACGTTCGTTTAAAGAATGTTTGTGCCTGATTTAAATTGTAGAAAATGAACTAGCTGCAATTGGTTTGATGTTTGATTGTTATAGACCAATTTATCTATTACAACTGAATTAATTAAATTACTGAAAGTTATGAAATGGGAATGTACGTTTTTAACTAAGTGCCACTCACATTTTCGTTCTCCTGGTGTAAAGCCCCGACTGCAGGTACTGTGCACACTTCTACATACGAACACCCTATGCTGGCACCAGAATGTGATTTAACTGAGTATCCAGGAAAATGTACCCAGCACTGGAGGTACACTGTTATATTGGACGTAGACGACACTGGTATAACAAATAACAGGCCAATAGATGCAACAGGTAATTGAAATCACTATGGAGAAATACAAAAAAAAAGTTAAGTTTCATCCATTATCCCCATCATGCAATAACAATCCCATGAATCTGATTGGTCAATGGCAGTAGACTGGACTTTTGACGTAGTTGTCAGTCTCTAAATGTCGACAGCTCAATATGTTCACGGTTTTATACCATATTTGTTGAAAGATTGTTTAGAATTATATTAATTAAAATATTTCTGATAGTTTCAGATATTGGTTAGAATGTATTATGTATATATATTATGAGTTATTACGAGACTTATCATGTAGCCATGTTTGTTTTTATATTACATTTTGTATTAAAGTACGCTTACGCGCGTAATCGCTTCATATTTGGAATTCGCGTTGCCTAATATACAATACCGCAAAATTACGGCACGCTGTAACTTATGTCGTTACGGTGACAGATGTATAATAATATTAAAGCGGGGGAGTCATCAGCGCATGCGTCTGATGGCCATAGCGTGTCGTTATTTACAAACAAGCGTCTACTCATGAGCCTTTGCGTATTTAGCGCGTGTTATTGTCGCTTGAGACTCAATTCCCGCGCGTGCGCAGGTGACGACCCTCCCGCTTTAATAATTTATATTGTTCCCAACCTCAACCAATCATTGCACATGCAAGTTTGTTCACCCAATGTTCAGTCAGCATTTCACGGGTTTTGTAATTACAGTTTGAATTCACTCCGACATTAGTAATGATGTTGCTCTAACCAATATTTATTTTTAATTTATCCATGTCTCGTTACTTAGGTGAATTTGTACTCGGGTTTCATACACACACATGTCCCAACTTAGCGCATGGGCAGAGAGGTGACTGTCGGCAAATGGATGTGCCAATTGCATACATCGGGAGTACGATAACATTACAAACCACGGTGCAAGTTACTGACGCCGAGAAGGACAAACCGATGTAAGTTTTTTTTTAACGTAATGCAAGACTTGGGTGGATATTTCTAGTAAGATACAAACTCTCCTTCCTATCATTGATTACACTTTTTAAGTTTTGTTATTTTGTGTGGATTCACGTTTTGTGATTACTACTTTAGTAACAGCTAACAATAACACTTTTCTCTTCAGTGTGCTGCTGAAAAAAATTATAGGTCGTGACCCGTCGGTTGATCTGCGTGATGGAGCAGTTGGAGTGCACCACATGGAACAGGTTACCATGGAAACTCACTTCTTTCCTGAATTTCTGCGTGAGCGTTTTGAGATGAAACTGACATTATTTATGGTGTGCATTGGTGTCCACTATAAAGATGACCCAAGTGTATGTACATACGTCATTTAAAACGTCATTACATTGTAGACGCGCGCGTTGTTGAATGAAACTGACATGTATATTTAAAGCTCCCGAGTCGTCGTCCGTGCCGTGTCGTGTCGTGTCGTGTCGTGTCGTGTCGTGTCGTGTCGTGTCGTGTCGTGTCGTGGTCGATGTGGACCCCATGCGACATATACAACACGTCTAAATACAATTGAAATTCAAGCGCGCGCTGCTCCTTGTAACGGATCATAAATTTGATCAATGCAGTTTACTGATATTTTGTGAAAAATTACGGGCTGGTATTAGTAATACCAGACGCTTTCAATATCAAATAATGAGGATAATAAAATGTGTTGGGAATTGCAAAAATACATGGGACACGACCTGCTTGTAAATTTGACATTTTAGCGTGCTAATGCTTGGACGTACAACACACAAAATGTTGATAAAACTAAATGCACGCTTTTTCTACTAAACAGTTTCTGATACGATCGCATCAATAAAGTGTAAATATTATGGTACTATATACATTTTAACCTCGAACCCATAAACAAAAGTATACAATGCAAATTACATTCGAAGTTGATACAATTTAGATTTATTTAGTAGATTTATTGAACACTAACTCCAGTCCTGTCTTAATTCTGAATAATTATTAATGTGTTTATTAGTATCAATGAATATGCTCGTGAATTTGAAATTGGACAATGTAAACAATATCACTCGAGGCGACTGTTTGAATTTGACAGGTGATTATACCGTAAAGGTATGTGCCTCGTTTCAACATTTGGCCTCAGAGATTCGCATCAGTGTCATAAATTGAATAGAGGTCTCTTTGATCCCGTGAATTAAAAGTGAAATTCAAAATCCCCATTATTTTTAAAAAATGTGAAAAAAAAAACTTTTTATGTTGAAACCTTAGAAAAAGGGTGTTGAATTTCGTCAACTGTATTATACATTTCACATGACTATTGAAAACAACTTGACCAACCACAGCGGTCAAAGAAAATGTCGTCTCTGAACTTGAATGCAGCGTGGGTAAACGTCTTAGAAATTTCGAAAAAATAAGTATCCATAATAACAGTATCTTTATGTAGATTATATTAAGTTTTGGAAGTTAATGACGCAAACCCTAAACATAGCTATTGAGATTTACGATTAGACCAATTCTTAAATGAATGTTAAAGTCAATTAGAGATGTACGTGTCTTGACAATAGGTTTAGGTTGACAGTATACATCGCTAATCTTTTTCCATGATCATAATGCAAAACACATTAAATTGGCTAAATCCTAAATCATGACAATACCAAACTCATATTGTTTACTTACGTCTGACCATATGTTTCAGGGATGTCTAAGCGCACCTGATAACGACACCTATGTGGCTATGTTATCACCCGACTTCTATTACTCGGCACTGATAGACCCCAGCGATGAATCTCTTGGTTTCGTGGAATTCGTTCCCGACAACTTGGAACATCTCTTGCGACAGGTTCGTATATAGTCGTTTATAATCTGCATAATGTCTATACATGTTAGGGGTGATCGTTTGTTACTAACTCTACTGGCACAGATAAACTCGTTATAATTTCTCACACGCGGTCGTGGGATTCTGCAATTAGTATTTTCATTTCATTCGTTGTATAATAGTATACTGACAAAAACAAACAGGGAAAATCTAGAGAATGGCCTACATATGTAAATTTTCTTTCTAGTGCCGGGCGTTCCTTCAGCTACTTTGAATGTGAAACAAGGACATAATCATTGCAGTTTCTTCCGTGTTGCCATTTCCTATGAATTTTCTATTCATTTGTCAATATTCCTTGCTCTAAATCAGCATCTTTGTTTCTTTTATATTCAGACTTTAGATGAAAACATCTATGTTCACAGACGAGATATTCATAGCGTCAAGTTCACAAACAGAGCTTTGTCAGGCCTGGCCAGATTCTACACCATCACCAACGTGTTCTTTCTCATAGACCGCAACGAGCCGGAAGTCACTGCTAGCCCCGGAGACAGGCGAAAGCGTAGTAGCACAATACTTGTGTCTCACAACCTGGTTCGGAGAGAGATCGAAGATACGTTGTCATTGTCACACTCCATGCGACACACTATCAAGTTTTCTGGTTGCCCTGACAACTCTGTTCATGATGCTGAACAACTGAGATGTGTGTGCATCGATGACAGCTACATGTATTCTGCAGATTCGTTTAAATGCGAACCAAGTATAGAAAGTCTGACTGACAGGGTAAGTATACGTCCTCTTAGGAGGGGTGACTGCGTTATGGGATGGTCTCGCACAATGCACTGATCTAGAAAACAATTAACACATCCAAGAAATCAGTACGCAAAATGAAAGTAAATATACGACGTTTCGGGTCAAAACCCCACACCCCAAATAGGTGCTTCACTAGAGCGCCGAACACGCACATTAGTCAGGCAAAAAAATATTTGAATTAATTTTTTACATTAATATTAACTCGAACTGTATTTCGACCATCTAGATGCTACGTCTATTTAGTCAAAGTGGGTGATCACTTTCATTCAGAAAGGATGGTACGCTAATTTTCGCATTCTTCAAATTCCTTGTTCTTTTGTGTCACTAAATTGGTGCTTAAAATTACATACAAAGGGGGGGGGGTTGCTGGTACAGGTTATAGGAAATAAAAACTGCATTTTACGTTTTTACAGGAAATAAAATTAAAGTTCCATTTACAGTAAAAAATAGGTTTTTACAATTTACAGATAAAGCAAATTCATAATATTTTTGATAATTTGTGTTTTGAGAATCAAAATTGGAAATTGCGTACGAATTAAAACATTTAATGTGAAAAATGGAAAATACGCTTACAAAAAAAAAAAGATCTTTGTACAAATTACGGACGAATAAAATAGCAAGATTACATTTCACACCTTGCCCATGTCTACGATTTTACGTTTTTTATTTATTTAAATTACATTATTACAGCTTACCCCTTGCATTGCTCACACGCGAGGCGTCCAGGTAATTTACCCTACCAGCAATGTAGCAATGTACGTGGACTATGAATATTAACAAATATAGCGACGTCTTTCTATCGGAGCAAACGGAATCAAGCACTCAGTTGAATCTCAAACTAGTAATACAGTATTACTAGTCTGAGGTTTAATTCCATTTCTAATTGTTGTTTTTTTTACAGAAACTCCCAGCAGATTTGAACAGTGCTGCTTCGACCGTCCTCAACACATACGTTAATTTTTTTGTCCTCGCACTGATGTATGTTATACTCAAATATTGATATCTGGAGTTTTTTTTAGTTTTTTTTTATTTATTTTGGGTAACGCTATCCCTATTCATGTAATTATTTGTGTTTTTATCAGTTTCAACCTATCAGTTATGCAATTATAGAAATACTTTTTTCTAATTTCATGTATTATGACTATCTTTAATATTTTTTTTAATATTGGTTCTACGTTTGATTTATTAGTTGAAAGAATACTTATTCTTCTATGCTTTAAATTATGAAATTTATTTCCACTACTATATCCAATATTTTGTTACTGAAAATGCTGACGTATTTATGTGAAGAATAAATATTAATTATATCAATCATTATTGTAAATTTCATTTCCGCTACAATGGGGAAGCCCAAACAGCTCTACCCAGGGTCATATTCAAAGAGAATATAATGCCGTTGCCGAAGCCACTGTACCCAAGGCGGGTGGGGTAGTATACAATGAAGAGGCCAAAGCCACTTTACCCAGCGGGAAGGCATACATTTGAATTAAAAAAGTCCATGGTCGTAATGTAAAACTTTCATATATCATGTTATGATTTATCTGGTTCTTTGTACTTTCCAGTCAGCTGATTGGACATTGATCAAACCATGTATTCCCAAATGGCCAAAACAAGTATTGACAAACAGAAAACGAAATTCCAATTTTAACAGTTTGCAATAGGTCATACGGTCTACAATTTTTAACTAAAAGTAAGTTATCCTGCCAATTAAACCTTGCCTTGTTTCAATTAACACGTAACACGTGGTTGTTTGGTTGTTTTTCAAAGAAATTCCATGGTAGAAACCTCCCATAAACCCGAAGTAGCTTCGCCTTACAGCCAATCTGAATAACTCTATGTACAAAGTCTTCCCAAAAGTATCTGTAGTTTTGAGACGTATGGTGCATCATAATTTCCATCAATACACGTACAGTAAAGGGCACAAAGCTGGGGCTTTATTTGTATAACATTGTAAATACCGATCATCAGCTTTCATTTAAAATCAATTTTTTAGGTCACTTAATCAAAATGTTTGGGAAATATTGATCTAACTAACAATAATTAGAACTGACGTTAATGTCACAATATCATTCTGATTGGTCAATTTGAATTCTAACATCCATTTCGATTTATGAAAATGTTTATGAGACGTTTATAGCGACCCCCAGCTTTTTGCCCTTCACTGTAATAGTCGTAACGTAACCCTTACCCAATGACATCTGGTCTTGCCATACTGTTTTTTTATATCAAGATTCATTAAGGGACGTCCGATATCATTGCATATCTTAGTATTACGTGCAATTACATGTGAAGTTATGGATGAAAGGGGAAGACCGGAAAAACGAATTAATGCTTCCAGATGAAAGAGCTCCACAAATGTATCACTTTTTATATTCTCTAACTTTTCATCAATATTATGTGATCCACGTCGAGCAAAAGATTATGGGTATAGTATTACGCCAGATGAAAATTCACAAAAATGATACCCGGATGTTCAGACCAAGACATCTGCTCGATGAGCGCAGATGACGAGTTATTCCAGATACAACATTTGCAGATAAATTCACAACAAATGAAATTATCAAAAAATCATGGAGCTAAGTACTGTAAAATACTTTATTTTAGCAGGAATTAATTTTCGCTGAAAAGGCTTTTTGCGTGTTTTGCATGAAATTTATTTTCACTGATTTTTGACGAGTTGAATGTAAAATATAGGACAAAGGGTAGATTTTATTTTCACTGAATCATTCCTTCAGGGAAAATAGTGAAAATTAATTTCAAGCAAAAATACAGTATTTTACAGTAGTGGGATTGACGATTCACGAGTTTGTGACGTAATCTGTTGCGTCTGAATCGTGGTGCAGACAAGACCAGACATTGTCTAACAGGCATTGTGTATTCACACTATACATGTTGATTGAAATATACACAAAGTACATTAAATTCGGCCAGTCGGCTACATGTAAGACTTGTTTTCACATATTCGCACCATAGAACCCAGCATGTGAATATCATCTCATAGATTCTATATGCTGTTGGTGCCTTTTCTTGTCACAATGTTTATTTTTTCTAAAAATATCTTGTTTGAAAGCAAGAACTACACGACCAAACACAGTGGTCGATGTGAACGACATTGCCTTCACCCATATACGTCATATGACGTCACAGAGTCGTTCTATCACTAGAGGGCGCGATTTGTTGAACTGGTGTGTAATGTGAAAAATGATCGACTACCCGAATGCAGACTTACGGACAGGTCTTGCGAATATTATATTAATAATTGCCCTATATGCACTTCTTTTTCACTACAAGACAATTATGGCCACTGAGCGATGTGGAATTTCCAATGGTATGAATTCCTGGTATACCGTCCACCTACATTTGCATAATTACATTCGTCAATTTCAGAGTTTTTATTGAGTTATTACAGTATTTTGGACAGGGTTAAACGACCTTGCCGTAGAAAGCACTTTCACTTACGAAGATTGAGAATCGATAAGTCACTGTATTTGGAAGTCTGGTGAGCCAGGTAACAGAAGGGGCAATGAACACTGTTTTAACATTATGTCGTAAATTGTGTTTGCACACTTTACACTGACACGGACAATGTTTACCAATCATCCATGTTGTTTATGGCCACTTGAATTGATAAGTTATGAATTGAATTGAATTCAATGTTTATAAAGTAAACACAAATATTATGCTTGGTGAAGGTCATTCATAGATAAGGTGGACATTTCAGTATATAAATCAATATCATCCACATATCATTATCAATGTTTTTGCTGGTACAGTTTGAGAGTTTGTAAGTTTTACTATATTTTAAAATAATACTGATCTCAGCATTGTGTGTGTGTGTGTTATCTAACTATTTTGGGGGGTTATTTCGCATTCCTATACATGTAGGGTGTAACACCGTCACTAGTCAAGTATTACTATTTCTTGGCCAGTGCCTTGAGCAGTGGTATTGGCGTGATATGATTGATAGGCGTCGACACTGTCTCCCCCATATAACTCAATTCTTAAATATTAGTTTTATTCGGAGCAAACCTTTTTGTTACAGTGGCTGCGACACCGAGGGGCAGAGGGGGCGGTCGGCCACTCAAAAAATATTTGGGGCGTCCCCACCCAAACCAAGCTGGAACCCTTTGTGTCAGCAAAATGTGCCCCTCAATATGCAGGAAATATCGTTTCAGAGGGTCTAGATTTCATATCTCGCCTCCTCGTGCACAATTTCGTGCCGCCGCGTCTGTCTTAGCTGTAGGATCGAAGACAATGTCACTCTTAAATTACTTGGTGTCCCTCAATCGCAGACATTTCACAATTTCAGACGTAAACATTCTAGGTATATTCGTTTACGCGTATACGAAAACTTTAATTTACGCTGTACCACTCCTCTAGAAATGTAATCACTTTACTGACTTTAGCCTCACCGGGAGGGGGTAGTCACCTCGTATACCCGTAGATAGTTAATACAATGATAATTAATGTCGTTCATTAGGAGAATCAAGGTCTGTGCTGACATGCTTGCCAGAACGATATTCTTTCCCAAGTTGATTCACTTGCATTTCTGTGGGAGGGGTGCACTGAAATTCAGCTTGAAAATACTTTGTTAGCTGTATGTAATATGGATGTCAGTAACCATTGCACTAGAAACCTCGTTTTTACATAAACAGAAACATTGTTGCACTATTGTAAACACGGTGTTTATCGAGGAAATAATCCGTCATATTATTAATTTACACTCACTGTAACCGTTATTGGTGACTACGTCGAGAGGTCGTTTCGCCCCTCTCAGGTGTAACCGGAAGGCCTTTTAACGAATGGGTAATAGACATAAGGAATCTCTGAATTGTTGTCTTCTGACCGTGCATCCGCGTACTGGAAGAGTAACAATTCATTATGGTATGTAGTTTTTTCTATGGCATTTGGAAAGAATGGTGTGTATGCCGTTGTGTTCCTGGAATTTCGCTAAAATTGTAGATTGTTGATCTATGTTTATTCGTTTCTAATAGAGGGAAATTGACAAATTTGACCCATGATTGATATATTCAGAATGTTGATCCATGATCATTATGAAAAATCAGAATAATAATCCATGATTGTTTTAACAAAATCAGAATGTTGAATCCATGTTTCATGTTAAATTCAAAATGTTGATCTACGTTAGTTAAATTTTAGATTTTTGGTTTATGTCTGTGGTAAAATTTTACTCAGTCTTTAAAAAGAAGTGGAATGTTTATGTATCTTATGTATGGGAGTATTTATTAAACTGTAAAATACTTTATTTTAGCTGGAAATATTTTTCGCTGAAAAGACGTTTTGAATGATTTCAATGGAGTTTATTCACTGATTCTTGATGAATTGGACGTAAAATTTAGGGGAAAATGTATATTCGCTGAGTTTTATTTTCACTGAAACATCACTTCAGCGAAAACAGCGAAAATAAAGTATTTTACAAAAAAAAGTAGTCACTCGAAGGCTGAAAATCTAAATAATCACATCTATACCATTTATTATAATATGATTTTACCGCTACGCTTCACTTAAAAACTAAACATTTTTTTTGTAAATATGGTGTAGCGACGACAAATCGAAAAAATAGTGCTGATCTATTTATTTGGGTTGTCATCCCCCAAGTGACTAGGTTCGCAGCTAATTCTCTAAGCCTCGACTAATTACTGCCGGTGGTGGCGTGATTGGGGATCCAGAATCACTGGTTTGGCGTCACAGTCCCTCACTGTGGTTCAGTATTTAAAATGATAACTATTAATTGTTGATACTATTAACATATGAAAGCGGGGGAGTCGTCACCTGCGCATGCGTCAGATGGCCATAGCGTGTCATTGTTTACAAACAAGCGTCTACCCATGAGCCTTTGCGTTTTAGCGTGTATTGTCATCATCGCCTTGGACTCAATTCCCGCGCGTGCGCAGGTGACGACCCCTCTGCTTTAAATTTATAGGCAATTTCAGTCATATTACATCGGATGTATCCATCGTCTTTCTAGTAAACTCCAAAGAGTTATAATAAATATTGACATCCGTCCATTTACATCATGTGTATGTCCGCGTACAGCCCGATTAATTACCATAATTGTTTGACCTGCATTCGGGAACTGACGTCACCACTTGGTCACGTGGTCGTAGTAAATAATCACGTGTCAGTTGTGTCAGCGTTATGCGCTTTCACATCCCACACAATGATCTCATGGTGGGTCAAAAATAATAATTTTTTTTTAGTCAATAGGGAAATGATTTGAACTTGAGAATAACGTCGATTTTGTTTTTTTTCCCCGGCCTATGTGCTAATCGTTCTTGTTTGGCCTCAATAGTATAATGATATATACTTATTTACATTATTTCATGTAACTGTATTGTAGTAGATTTTAGATATCTAACTTGTTATGTTTATTTTAACACCTTTATTGCATTTCATAAATCAAAATAGATATGTAATTCATTCTATAAGGTTGTAATAAAGAATTATCTTATCTTATCTTATCTTATATACTGACCTCACATGTACATAAAAATATATATGAAATTTATGCGATGAAAACAATTCGTTCACTAGCATTTTTCAAGAATATTTTTGGCAATCCTATCGATTTAGACCCATGCCACGATGTACGAAATACTAAGAACTAAACTGTTAATCTTTTGGAATAATTTTCACATGCATCCATGTTAAAGTCTTATAATGGAAGCCAAAAGTATTTCAATAAGAAGAAAACGTGTGAGAATAAAATTCCACATTTTTAAGAATAGTTTGGGCTGTACTAGCTTCTATTGCCCCCCCCCCCAAGTTCCACCGACTAGAATCATTTTAACCGTCCCTAGTTTGTGTGTGCAAATAGTGCATATATTTGATAACTGGAGGTGTTCGATTTAAAATAATCCCAACGTACGAGTATAAAGTCGAAACACTTAAATACGCCACAGACAAAGTACGTAAACAGAAAAAGAAATCCGGATGTCCGCGTAGCTCTGTCCAATCACGGCACGTCATATTCACGTGACAGTGAGTGTGTATGTTGAAATGTCCGTATAAACGCCTGTGTCTGATAGTGGTATTGAGCATTTGGTGAAAATGCATCCCTGTGCAAAAGAAAGGTGATCTATTTTAATATGGTGGAATGCTATGCGATTATTATATTACTACTGACGTCGTCGGTAGATGGGATACAACGCCGTGACTGGCTTCAACGTGAACATCATGGAGGTAGCGGACAGGAACATAACAATGACAAACCAGATTCAGGTCAGTGTATCGGGCTTTTTATTTGGATATAGTTAGATAGTATAGGCTCTAATCCTTTCACGGTGTGTTGTGCTGTGTATAAATAAACCTGAAATTAGTCGAGGAGAATTAGTTCAGGGTAAAAATAATATTTATTGAACTAAATGCAATTCAGTTTCGAGCACTTCCGGGTTGAAGGATATTAACGTGTTTTGATGCGTTTAGCCTGTTTCACATTTAGCGTGCCTAAGGCCTGCCCAATTTGTTTGTTTGTTTGAGTAACCAAGTTTACTGTGGCCGCAAGAAAGAATGGAACCGAAATAGTGCAGTGTCTTGCTAATAATAGTTAGTAGCTGTATTGGTCACAGTATGTCCATTGTTTACTGTGTAATGTAGTTATTTTTTTATCAAAATATTGCTGTTCCATTGTTTCTTGCGACCACAGAAAATTTGGTTTCCTTTCACACAGTCAAAATGTCATTATATATGCCGGCCTAAATCGCTATCTTTTGCAATACAGACTTCTTACGTCGGAACTGTCCAAAATGCCCTAAATAGTCCAGGAACAATTGGTTCAATTTGATTTTGGATAGGGTAGTTTTGAATTGTTGATCGGTAAATCAATGACAATGATGAGCCCCGTCTGGACACTAGCACAAGACATAAATTGGAGAATAATCACTATGATTGTTGCTGTCAACCGCAAAGTCTCAAATTTCTATTAACACTGCCGTTCTCTCTATTTCAATGTCTCCTAAACGAGCTACGATCTATTCGTGTGCAATGTTGTCTTTGGAAGTATTGTTGAACATTCTTTAAATTTGGTCTTCCTTTCAGATAACGTCTTAACGATCAATTATTTTGTTTCCTCTACAATCCAGTTAACTCCTCTCCCGGCCATTGTTGTTGTGATTGTGAAAAGGTTTTGAAACTGGAGCAACAAAAGTGGCAAACTTAATTTGCATATTTAGTCAATGATAGTGGCAATTATGTAATATGACTATTGTTTATACTGTAGTTAGGCAAGCTCAATTTTGGTGATTTAGATTAGGGCCAGGCGTGGGTTATTTAGGTGAGCCTGAATATTCTGGTTCGTGTTCACAAACAAAATTATTAATTTTGGGTAATCTAATTTTCCAAAGTAAATGCAACTTTTGTGTTTTCATTCCCACTCGTCCGTGTAGTACATGTATATAACATCAATTATTTTGTAATTAGTGTTACCTAAATGTTTTCTATGGTATAGGCCAATCTTTTTTTAGCTCCATGGGCCAATCAATTGAAAGAGCACACTGACAACAGCCAGCACAATCACAGTCTCAATAGCATAATTGCAGGGACAATCATTAATTAAAAGACTTTCTGCACATACCTAGAACTCAACACAACGAGGGCGTGGAGATTTAGTTTGTTTATACTTGAGTGGAATTTGTTTCTAATACAAACAGATTATTTGCAATCACATCCGCTACTGTAAAGTACTTTATTTTCACTGAAGGAATAGGTCAAATGAAATCAAATGAAAATACCTTTTTTCCTTTATTTTACTTTCACCTCTTAACAAATCAGTGAAAATGAACTTCATACAAAACTGTTTTTTATTTTTGGTGGATGTTTATTGGCTGACATAATCCTCAGGAGAAAATACATGGTGTGTGAATTCTTTGGGATGGGATCCATGCTTCAGACATCTGGTAAAAATTAAGAATTTAATAGATGATAGTATGCAATGAGTGTGAAATGTGATAGAGATTTCATGAAAATTGAAAAACGAGACAATATATATTCCCAGAAATACTAATGCCTGAGAGAAAGTCTGTTAAATAACTGATTAGTGTCGGGCTGTTACTGCTTGCATCCTTTCTTTTTTACAAAGCATTACATTATGTACGTTTTCCATTTCCAAATGCTGTAATAATATCACATGTATTTGTTTATCTTATAGATTCTTAATTTTATTCAAGTTTCACTATGAGATGAGACTTTTGGGTTTATTGTGTGACATTTTTTGGCATTAATATGTGCATTTTGTGTGACACAGTGGTTGTAATTACTTCAGCTTCCATTTTAGTTTTGTTTGAATTTCATTCACTCCTATATTTTATTTACATAAATTCACACAAATTTGTCCTTGTTGCAATCAAAATTCTGCGGCTCGCAATTTTATGAAACAAGAATAAATTCTCAAATTTTTCCTCAACTCATCATTCATGCTACCATATATGTCACATGTTAGTCCTAAATCACCAATAAACCAAAACGTTTCTCACAGTGAACCATTATTAATGTCTAATTTCTTGTCATTAGTGCTTAAACTAGCAGATGTCAGTAAAAAAAATAATACTTATAATATTTCTTTTCTACAGTTGAATCTGAAGGGCAGAAGTATTTTTTAACAATAGAAAATGACAGTCCTGTCATCCTTGGTGCCAATGTAACGTTCTTTGCAAAGATTTCATTGGATAGAAGTAACCATGGATACAGAGAAGATGATCCTCAGTTTAGTTACTGGTGGAGAGACGACACAGGAACATATGCAGTTTATACTGGAGGTTTACAGACAAATTTTAGTAGAAAGTACGAGAAGAGTAGCGTTTTGGGCAAGACTCACGATATGCGGGTACAAGTTCGCGAGAAATCTTTTATTGATATGTCTGGACAAGTTTTAAATGGGAAAAGTCCATTCACTATTACAGGTAGGGTTTACAATGGTTTGTATCGCAGTGTTATTAGCTGTGTTGGTTATTATTGATTCGTTGACTTGCGTTCATGCATTCGTTTGTCTCCAAAGTCATTTCTTAGACACATATTAATCAATTTCCTTCATTCTGCTATTTTTGAAAATTCTTTCACGCAGATAGAATATGGTGAAAAGATTTTGAGGTTATTAAAAGACTTAGTAATAGCATGTTTGCAAATTTTAGTAATCCAATCATATTGCACAAACTAGTATCATTTTCTTATCTGTGGATATTTCATGATTATCATTATAATCAGAACTGAAATCTGATTGGACAGTGATGCTTCATGATATTTTTCAAATGAATTTATACTTGCCTTTACAAAGTCATTGTTTGCCTCTCAGAGACAAATTTTACAACACACCTCTTGATAATTTTAATTACATTGGCTACCATTTTGGTCACTCTGTAAAAAGTGTTACTACAATTTTTTTCACAGAATCACTCATGTGCATTAATTAGTACATCGTATTTGCACTTTAGGTGATTTTCTGTTCATTGCAAAATTTCTCATGAATGGCGCAGACCAAATGCTGTCAATGTTGAAATGTGGATCATTTAAAGGGGAATATAGTGTTGAGACTCCCTAACTTAATCAAAATTGACCATCCTCAAATGTGTACAGCACATTAAGCCTTAGAATACATAAAATCTACTTTTTACGTTTGATGTTGCACATAATGCAGCACATGTACAATTGTATGTATTGTATACTAGATCACTAAAAATAGGATCATTGATATATATGGTAAAAAATAGCATCAGTAGGCAGTATGGTAATGAACTCGACAGTATTGGGTAGTTTTATAGATTGCATTCATTTTGTAATGTTTTGATTATTTCAATATAAGTGACTAAAACTCAAATGGAGATCTTTATGATAATACATAAGTAACGTTTCCATATCTTATAAATACTGGCACTTTATGATGATTACAAAGAGGGGGGCAAGGCAGGATAGCTGGTACAGGTTACAGGAAATAAAAACAGCATTTTACGTTTTTACAGGAAATAAAATGAAAGTTCCATTTACAGTAAAAAAATTAGTTTTTTACACTTTACAGATAAAGCAAATTCCTAATTACATTTTATGTTTTTATAATATTTTTTGATAATTTGAGTTTAAGAATCAAAATTGGAAATTACGACATTCAATTCAGAAAATGCTTTATACGCTTACAAAAATTAATATCTTTGTACAAATTACAGACAAATAAATTAGCTGATTACATTTTACACGTTACCCATGTATACAAATTTACGTGTTTTATTTATTTAAATTACATTATTACAAAAATAAAAACAATTGATTACAGCTTACGAAAATACCCCTCTTACAACGATTGTGATTCTGATTGTGTTTTGTCAAAAATTTTTTTACAGCTTGTACATTTCACTAATCGGCTATGCTTCTACTCATTTCTAATATCATATTAAATTGACTACTGTAAAAGGATTAATTATTCACTGGGTTTTATTTTTGCTTATTTCCCTGACTTGAAAATGCGCTAAATTAAAATACAGTGAATATAAAAAATTTAGCAGAGAACACCTTATCTAAATGATAAAACTATGAATTTAAAACCCACTGAATATGCCTGAAATGGTAAATAAGCGAAATTCAAACCCAGTGAAAATTAGTCATTTTACAGTAATCCAACTGATTGCTGTTTACCTTACATGCATCCACATAAATGTGCCATCAAGCTCACATTCTAATATTTCCTGTTTTTATTCGTGAAATATTTATGTCATTATGTTGGTATGTGTATTGAGAAAGACGGTTTCGATTTGTGTGGACACTGAATACTAATTAGATGAAGAAGGAAAACTGCTTTTTACTCAAATCAACCATTGATCAAATATTTGTCGCATTCTTGGCTAGATTTTCTTAAATTGTTACCCGTTAATTTAGTTTCCTTTAAAACAAGCAAAAGTTAATTACCAGTACTCCCATTAAAGAAAAAAATGACATCATTGTGTTCTACATAATGACAATGTTGTGCGAACACTGTACAGGTATACACACAATTTACGCCCCTTTGATCTATTGAACCAGAAGAGTTTATCACAAATAAATTACTCTAAAGTATTCCTTGAACTTTGACCCCTGAAGTTTGGAGTGTGGCAGTTATGTGCTACTTGTGACTGTGAGACGAACTTCAAATCTAATCATTATCTAATCTGCTTGAATCACCCACTCAGTCGTTTCTTTATTGGGCCACTGTAAATAAAGGTTTTGTTTAAGTCCCAAATGTATTTTATTAATGCATTTATATTAAGTTTATTTTGAAATTTCTATAGTTGTCATCAATACTGTAAACTATTATCTGAGGGAATTAACACCGACTATAGTAGATTTCTGGAAAGCCACTGCGACATCCCTGTCTAAAAAACTCCCAATGAATCACTGCAACAAAATTTTCACTGTGATAAAACTCGTAACTTCAAAAGTCTTGTAATTATAAACTGGTTTATTCATTATTTACTTTATAGTTTTCTGTTAATGTTTGTTGTGCGTCAGGTAAAATTCCTTCATGCCAACAGTACAAAAAGTTCCTGATGTATAAAATTTCATTCTGTGTCAATTTTCTTCCTACTAGATTGCGCTGATACCCTGCCCATCCTAAACCCCGCCCATGGGCGATATATCAAATAGTGGGCGATGTTTTGGTCCACACATTGCCTGACTGAACCAACAAAATTTGTTCTTGCATCGAGCACGCTACTTCAAATATGACGCTAAAAATAATTCACTGTGAAGTCGAAACACGTAAAAATGTAATGCTGTATATGAATTGTTGTTGTGTGAAAAAATGGTATATGCTTGTATTTTATGCATGTATTTATCACCAATTTCAAGAGTAAGAGTCGTAACTTTAGAAGGTACGAGTAGTACAACTCGTTAATACATTTCACTTACATTTAATACATTATTCATTTTTATTCACACTTACCGGGGTAAGTATTACCGTAAAATCTGTATTAGAAGTTGCACCAATTCTTTTTGTACAATTGAGAACCAAAAATTCATCATTACTCATATGTGTTGATGCTCTAATAGAAGCTGCATCTCCTCTGTTGCATTGTACCATTTTAATAGAAGCCTCGGTTTCTAATACAGATTTTACAGTAACACTAAACACATATTCTATTGAGTTTAGCATTTCATATCTAATGTTCTTTCATTCATAGAATATATCAATGGCGATATGAAGCTCATCCAGCCCAACTCAACGCTGCACAAAAAATGGACGTATGCCACCAATAACAGTATTGAGTATATAGTCAATATTTATGATCCGAGTCACTATTTTGACGATGCTTCAATGCTATTTTCGTGGGAGTTTGGCGATAATAATACCAAGGTTACAGAAGAGGTGAGTTTACATCATAAGAGCGAGGTGGTGTCTTGTGGGATTTGTTTTGTCACTGCTGTTGACAAAGAACATTCAGAAATATTGATTAAACACAAACGTCATGGGAATTGGATTTGTCATCAAGTCAGTTCTAATACCAACACGTACTGTAATTTAGTTGGTAGATTAACCTTAGCAACTTTTACGCTTTTGGAATAATGCTTTTTTTTCACACACCCACAACAGACTATAGAGTGGCATATTCTATCGCTTACTCATTTCCACATAAAAAAAAACTTTCGGTACTCCTGAGATTTTCCCATTAAACACATTTTTTTATTGTGATGTTATTTTTTACGAAAAAATGTCAAAGATATACTACAGAGAACTGTACTTGTGTAGATTAAATTTTAAGTTGTCGTCACATGTTTGTATAGGTAACATGCACTTTAAGGATGGTATTTATGTTTTTATGATGTATGTGACATATTCAACACTAAATACCAGTGTTGTTATGTTGTAGAATGTAGTTTATTTCTCACAATCTTTCTCTCGCTAATAATACAAGTAGAGTATTGTTGTTCTTAGATTGGTGTGCAATCAGGGATATATTAATTCAGATTTCAATTAAGATTCATGAACAAAACTATTTTGTGATGACCAAAAACACATTCATGGTGTGATAAACAGAAAACTTTTTCAGTCAAAGTTCAAATCAGTCTGGAATTTGTATCGCTTGAAATATATATTGTTCAGTAGACTTTATATCATTGAAACACCACAGTTTGGCCAAGCATCGACTAATTTTGGTTTGACATTCACTCTAATTTTACACCCGGTCTATGCTCATTTTAAAATATGCTATATTATTCACGTTTCAACATTTCAATCACATCGAAAATAATGTAGACTATGCAAAAAAAAATAGCCACGAAAATGTTGCCCTTTTTTTAAATACATTGGGGTGGATGTGCCATATGGGGACTTTCCATGGATCCTTTCCAATCAGAAATTCATGTGAATGCCATCAGCAGAGTAATTTGAAACAAATTCCAAATAAAGCACTCAAAAAAAAAATTGTGTGTTCTAAATAAAATGATCTGTTATTTTTTTTAGTGTTTTTGAGGAATGAATTTATTTGCACTAGTTATGGTACCGGTATTACATTATAGACAATTTTTATTCTAATGATTTCTTTGACTTTTTTTTTCTTTCTAGCCTAGAGTTTCACATACTTATTCAAAGCCGGCTTTCTATCCTGTGGTCGTTGTCATAACAGCAGACTTACCTGCCACAAAACACTCTATATGGGAAACAATTAAGACTGGAAAGTTTAGCCAAACTATTAACTTATTGGGTAAGTACAATTCAGTAATGCTAGTCTTTTTTTTACAGCAGTGTCAAATTCTCCTGCTAAAGGGTTTAAACATGTGACATATACCCAAGAGTAAAGGCTTACTGTCACTTTATTAGTTGACACTGCAAATTGCCCAAATACATGCTGAAAGCAGAAATCTGATGTGTTGAAGGAGAAACTTACTCATAAACAAAAATTACCCAGAATTTATTAATTTTTCAATAAATTGAACTTATGGGCAAAATAAGGATATTGAGTTAAAAAAGTTGAGGGTCATCGTCTTAATTTTTGAGAAAATGTTGGTTGAATTTTAGAGGATAGTGGTCATTTTGACAGTATTATATAATGTTACCGTATTACCCCGGGCACGCGCCCAGGGGCCAGAATATACAAAATCGAGAAAAATTGGGGGTGGGCGCTTACCCGAGGACCACCGCAAAAAAGATTTTAAAAAGTTGTTTTTGTGATCATATGATAATGTCAAATAAAGGAATGCTTTCGTACCGGTACACTTTGTACAGGGCTTTTTGGCAACGACCGCAAACGTATCCGTGTCCAGCCATTGGTTGGCCACGTAGAGGTCAAAATATGCGTTCTATTTTTACACGTTAAGTTTGGCTCTTCCGTTTCACCCCCTCCAGAATGTTCTATTTTCGCAGTCTAATCGCAGGTTTTTCAAAAAACGTCGAAAAAACACAAGAATTAGTAGAAATGTTCCTGTTTTGGGCGGATTATTGATAGAGAATAATGTCTTTATTACAAAAATGCTGAAAAACCGTGAGTTTTTGCCTTAGTTATTTTTTTATTGGCGAAAAACTGCGAACTCAGCAAATTTGGTTGCACAACTTCCCTTTATCATATACACCCAGCGACACCGATGCCAGCTGACTGTGCTCCTGTTGTAACGCCAAGAATATTACACAAACAAGATGGTAGAGTTTAATGCAATGTCCTGTTCTTTTTATTTCTGGACCAGTGTAAACAAAAGCAAAAACAAAACCTGTGTATAATAAATAAATAATACAAATCAGTATACACAACATAAATACATAAATATACACAACATAAATACATAAATATACACAACATAAATATACATAAATATACACAACATAAATACATAAATATACACAACATAAATACATAAATATACACAACATAAATACATAAATATACACAACATAAATACATAAATATACACAACATAAATATACATAAATATACACAAC